ATAATTTTTTAAAAAAGAAAAGAAAAAAGAGTATGACTTCTGGCAGGTAGACTGCGCTCCAGGGGATGGTCCCATAACCAGAAGTACGTGGGACAGTACAAATTTGGGGGTTTCCTAGGCTTCTGGAAACTTGCTCTTCTTCTGAACTTACCCCAATGATGACAGCATGCACAAGACCCGTGCAAGCTTAAACCAGACAAAAACTCAGCATAGAACTGGAGAAATGGGTAAGAGGCCCTCACTTTAGCTGAGGAACTATTGGCAACTGATCACTACTGGATGAGGGAGAGTTGATCTTTTTTAAGGGAGTGATGCTAGATAGGCTGACCAGGCTCCAGTGGATGAACTTACACCAAGGGACATCTGGGGACACAAACCTGATTCAATAGACTTTAAAATATATGACATAATGCATGAAATCTGGTGGGGGGTTATGGAGGGATTCAGATGGGTTATGGAGGTCTAAAAATAATTAAGATATATTACATGAAATGAACAAAAATGAATTAGAATATATATTATAAAAAAGAATAGTATTACATTGACTAATTTACACAGATTTTGAGCTATTAAATAAAAAATTAAATAAAACAAAAATAGGACACGATGTCAAGGGTATAGGAAAGTGGAGTGGATCTGTGAGGAGCTAAGTGGAGGGACTGAGGGTGAATCTGTTCAAAGTACATTGTATGGAATTCTAAAAGAAAATGATATTTATTTTTAAAAATGAAGCTTAATGTGCAAGACATACATAAAACTAAATAAATATATAAGGAAAAATAAACCACAAAACTCAAGGCCAACTGCTCCTTCATGAAAGAGATAAAGAAATGACAAGTGGTGAACAAACACATGTTATTCATAAAACTTCACATTAAAGCTACTGCAGAGTAAACATACTCATTCACCAGAATGGCAGATCTAAAAGAAGCAGATACAGAGTATTGCACACACTGTGGGACAATGGGAAATTTTATCCATTGCTTTTGAAATGTAAGTTTATAACCAGTTTTGAAGAGTATTTGGTATTACTATCCAAAGATAATCAATTTCTAAGCTTTATTTGAAGTTCTTTTTTGTTCAATATATATTTCTATTGAACTTTTGTACATTTCATACATCTTAATCATATTTAGATTGCCTCCCCTATCTGCATCCCATATCTCCCCCACCACCAGATTTCATGTACTTTGCCATATATGCTAAGTCCTGTCAAGTGAAGTTTGTGTTCCCAAATATCCCTCAGTGTGAGTTCATCTACTGGAGCCTGGTCAGCCTATCTAGCATCACTTCCTTAAAGAAAAGCAATCTCTCTAACCCAGCTGTGATCAGCTGCTAATAGTTCCTTGGCTGTGGTTGGGGTTTCTTGCCCATTTCCCCCCTTCTATGCTGGGTTTTTGTCTGGTTTGAGTTTTCATGGGTCTTGTGCATGCTGTAATCATTGCAGTAAGTTCATTTGAGCCAGTTCCAAGAATCCTGGAAAGTTCTGTTTCTTTCTGATCATCCATTACTCCTGAATCTTACAATCTTTCTGACCCCTCTTCTGCAATGGTCCCTGAGCCTTGGGCTAGTGATGTTTAGTGTCACTGTATACACTCTGTAGTCTCTTATTCTCTACATTTTTGGCAGCTGTGGTTTTTCTGTGTTGATCACCCTATGTTGCATGAGGAAGCTTCATTGATGAGAGTAGAGAGATGAGGTAATATTCTCTCTACCCTCTGTTCCACTATGATCCAAGAGCCTTAGGTGTAGTGGTTCCATTGTAAATGTGTCACTTCAACTGGGCATCTCACAGATACATTCTCTGGGGCTGATCACTTGTGGAACTCTATAATAGTCTTCATCTCACACTGAGGGATATCTGTGAACACAAACTTGACTTGACAGGACTTGGCAGATATTGCAGAGTACATGAAATCTGGCAGGGGGGGTATGCGGTGTGCAGATAGGGGAGGCAATCTAAATATGATTAAGGTGTATAAAATGCACAAAAATTCAATAAAAATAAAATTCAATACAAAGAAGCTTCTTTGATAAGCTGTAAGAGGTATACCTGTCTGTAAATATAAGGATCCATATTTAACATACAGTAAAAAACTATATTTGTTTAGGTAGGGGTATGACGGACATAGGGTTTTCTCTAGGATCTATGACCTCTTCATCCACATGTATTTGATTATGTTTACAGTGCCACATGAGTTCCCTCTCATTGAGAGAGTGTTGCTAAGATTACTTCTGGGATGTTCATGTAGCGTCCAGCCCCCTTCTCCAACCATCCGTACTATAAAATGAGATATAATTTCTCCAAACTACAGTTTGGAGAACTAGAGAGTTTATTGGGCTTGTGGCAGGGATCCTGTGACCTCCTGGAGGCTTCCCAAGATGGCAAAGGCCACCCCCTTCTCTCTGGCTTCCCCTGTCCCTATCCTTAGTCCCTCCCCTGTGTACCACTCAGGCCAGCTAGTTGGATGGAAGGCATGAATGACTCTCTCTGCCCCTCCCCTCCTACAGAAAGTTTGTTTGTAGTCATTGGAGCAAGCAGGTGAATCCCAGCTTGAGATGAAGGCATCCATCCACTGCTTGCCAGTCTAGCTTGCTAGGTAGAGGACAAGTCCATAAAACAGAGGGCTTTAAGTTAAATTAGATATCTGCTGATTACCCCCAGGATAAAAAGTGCCACCACTATACCAGTGCTATGCCAGTCATTGTTGTGGTTATTAGGCCTTAAAGCTGGGGTTGAACCATTGATTGATTTTCTCCCTTAGCAGCTTGCATAGTATCCTCAGATACTGTAAGAACAAGTCTTCAGGAACAAGGCTTTCAGGTCAGTTCCAGCTTGATTACTTTAAGTCCTATTTCTGACTTAAAAAGAAAGTATGTCCTTTCTTCTGCATTAGGGTATTACCTTCATGGTTTGCGAGGAAATCAAGGTATTGATTTTGGGAGTCTCTTGGTCAACTCTGATCCACAACTCAAAGTGAAGTTTCTACTGTCTGGCCCTGTGTTTCTGGTTATATAACCTTCAACTACACACATGAACTTATATACAGATTTTGTATGTGCGTTTTTCAAAAGACTTTTGAATTAATATATTTCCTTCTAGTTTTTCACACCATCTATGCATTATTTATCTATCCTCTCTCCTTCTCTAACTCTCCCTCCTCCCTCTTCAGTTGAAGTAACCCCATTATGCCCATTTTCCCCTTGGTAACTCCTGTCTCCTATTATCTCCCTTCTTCAGTTTCTTCTTCCCTTTAACCCCATGGTTTCGTGTATAACCTTCCCCCTCCCGTCCCAGTTAAATACCCCCATTTTTCCCATCACCCCCTTGGTAAAAACTATCTCCTACAATCCCCCTATCTCGGGCTCCCTCTCTCCCTTGATGCCCATGGTTCCCTTCTTTTAGCCTAGCTCCTGCAGCCACATCAGGAGATATACTCACACCTAAGCATTCAGAGCTATGATCCACAAATGAGAGCGAAACAAGAAATATATCACTTGTTTTTCTGAGTCTGTGTTACTTCACTTAATAGAACAGTTTCTAGTTCCATTCATTTGCCTGTAAATTCAATGATTTCCTTTTTCTTTACTACTCAGTAGAACTCCATTGTGTGAATGTACCATGCTCAATTATTCATTAATCTGTTGAGGGGATTTAGATCATTTCCCTTTCTTAGTTATTGTGAAAATAATAGCAATAAACATGACTGTGCAAGTAGGTCTATAGTAGGATGAAACCTTTGGGTATATGCCAAGGAGTGGTATAACCAGATCAGAAGGTAGATTTATTTTTAGTTTTTATGTATATTTTTATTGAATTTTTGTGTATTTCATAGATTCTAGAGAAAACATAGATCCTAGAGAAAGCATTATCTCTGTCATATCTCTAGACAAATGTAATTTCTTACTACATGCTAAATATTTTTAACTTTATGAAAGTTCTCCATACTGATTGCCACAATGGTTGAATCAGTTTGTAATCCCACCAATAGTGAATGAGGGTGCTGTCTTCTATATGATGCTTTTGATTCTGTGTCTAAGAAAACTTTAATCTTCATTTCCCCAATGGTTAAAGATGTTGAACATTTTAAAAAATAGTTATCACCCATTTGCATATGATTTTTTGAGAACTTCCTGTTCACCTTCTTGCCCCCAAGTGAATTTGTTTTTTATTTGTTTTTGTTTTTTTTGTTTTTTTTTTTTGTTTTTGAGACAGGGTCTTCCTGGTAGTACCATTTGGCCTGGAACTCTCTATGGAGACCAGGCTGGCCTAGATTCCACCAGACTCTGCCTATCCAGTCCTGGGATTCAAGGTCTGCACCACCACACCCAGCATTCTTAATTCTTAATTTTTTTGATGTTTAGTTTTTTTAGTTCTTTGTATATTCGGGATACTAACCCTCTGTCAGAGGAATAGCTGATAAAGAATTTTTCCCATTTTGTAAGTTACCTCTTCACTTGAATGATGGTGTTCTTTGCTGTACAGAAGCACCTTAGTTTCATGAGGTCCCATTAGTCAATTGTTAGTCTTAATGACTGCATTGTTGGAATCATGTTCCAAAAGCCATTTCCTGTGCCTATAGGTTCCATTATATTTCCTATTCTCTCCTCTGTTAGATTCAGGGTATCAGGTCTTACAATGAGGCCCTTAATCTATGTGGAGTTAAGTTTTCTTCATGGTGAGAGACAAGGATCCATTTTAATTCTTCTACATGTTGCTAACTTTATTATTTATTTATCTTTGTCTTTTTCAGACAGGGTCTCCCTGTAGCCCTAACTGGCCTGAAACTCGCTATGTATACCAGACTGGTCCTGAATTCAAAGAGAATCACGTGCCTCTGCTTCCCAAGTGCTGGGATCAAATATGTGTACCACCATGCCTGGCTTCTGTTGCTAACTCTTAAAGATTTTTCTCTCATACCTACAGAATTTTGAACTTCTAGGTACATTATTTCATTATTTCTTTTCTTTTCTTTCTTTCCTTCTTTCTTTTTTTGAAACCCTGTTTGAATCTAGCCACACGCTACATACCAGATTATAAGGCTATGCAGCCAATTTCAGTATGCTCTTCTACTTTTGCAACCACCAAGACCAGTGTTAAGAGCCAATGGGAAAGGGAACTGGATGATTATTCATTATTCCTTGAGGTACATTTTAGCATATATTATATTTAACTAGAACAGATATCTTGGAAAATGTTTTATAAAATTTAATTTATGGTTGATAATTTTTCACAAATATTGCTACATTAATCATGAAATTAATATTCCATTTCTTGATCTGTTTTATCTAACAGGATAATGAGAATGTTGCTTATGTTGCAGAAGTCACCTTACATTCTATGCTCTCCCCTCAAGTAGTGATAACTCAACAACACAGACTGTGTTTACTACTGGTACATAAAGGACTAGCAGCAGGCTTGAAGCAGTTTTTTTCTCTCTCTGCTTGGGAAATTCAAGAACAGCAGATACTCTAATTAATTCCATTATAACCTTTCTAATTATTAGTCATCCTTATAAGTACATTAACATTGCTTACCATCAGTGAGTTAATACATCAATGATAATCAAAGCCTATATGAGCCAAATAGGTTATATACTGTATTTCAGAGGACCCAGAAATGGTAACAACAACCATCTGTAAGCCCAGTTCCAGGGGAATCTGATGCCCATTTCTTATATCCATGGGCATTGCACAACATAAGTGCACTTACACACATGCAGGCAATACACTCATGCACATAAAATAAAATAAATAAATGTGTGTATATATATTTATGTACATAGTCTCTGCATATGACAGAAAACATAATATTTGTTATTTTGTTTAACATAATGATTCCTAGTTCCATCCATTTTATGAAAATGTCATATTTGTTTGTTCTTTACAGATATTATTGGTATAGAAAAAAACACATGGACACATATGCACAGAGAGAAATGGAGGCAGAACACACCAAAGATGGAGATTTGGCAGCTGGGAGTCTGCCTGTGGGTATGGTATCAGTCACAACTGGCTAGATTATGCTGAGGAGACAAATATCCCTCCAAATTTCAGTGTACTAAATAGTACAGTTGATATGACTTATATGTAGACTGAACTAACTTTTATCTTATTTCCTTATAAAAGTGCTTGCACATGATATAATCTGCATTGCTGTACTGTTTAAAAAATCACATATGGAATATGATAGCCATTTAAATACATATACATGTAGTATATATTTATGTGTGTTACATAGTATATAAAATGTAGCATATAAATACTACCTGTTTGGCAAATAAAATTAATTAATTATTTATTTATGCATATTTCATGTTATGACAAAGTCACATCATTCTTTTTCCATTACTTTCTAAATTTCATTACTTTGCTTGCCTTGCCACATACATGGTTAAATTCTATTAATAGTTCAGTAGAATCATGGTGAACACATGTGAATAAAGATCACTATCAACAATCTCTAAACACATAGTACATTACTAGCAACAGTTGACATGCTATTTTAGGATAAGTTATTATTATTATTTTAAGAATTATGAAAGCTACTTTATAATCACTTTGAGGTAAGCAGTGTTATTTTGCGTTGCATTAAATTCTGAAGCTCTCTGAAAAAGAAAATGGTCAAATTTTAAAAGAATCTTATTTGACCTAAATTAGTAGTTGCTAGTAAAAATGAAATTTAAATGATTTCATAACTTTCCAAACATCACTATATTCATTGTTAAAGAGGAAATTGTAGCATCTATACTTATTTAAGTATGAATAATAAGAACGTCCTTAGACCTACCCTGAACAATATGCCAATTCCTAGTTAAATGATGGTTTTTGGTTATAAAACTTTATTTTCCTTTCCTGTTTCTACAGAACAGACATAAAATAACTATGCTTCTAACAACAGATGAGACAAATTCTGAAACAAATTCTCCAGTTTGCTATTGGTTAATGACCTTTCTTGAAGAAAATCCTCAACACTCACTCCTGAATCTGCTTGGTTCTTACCCCATAGATCACAGGATTGAGAGCTGGTGGGACAACCACATAGAGGTTGGCCAAGAGAATGTGAATGTATTGGGGCACATTATGGCCAAAGCGATGTGTCAAGAAAGAGAAAAAGGCTGGTGTGAAGAAGGCTAAAATAACACCTATGTGGGATCCACAGGTGTTGAGAGCCTTGAGCCTGGCTTCCCAGGAGGGCAGGCAGAACACAGCATGGAGGATCCTGACATAGGACAGAATGATAAGGACTACATCCAACAGCAAGAGAGAGATATCAAAAAGACCAAACATGATGTTGGCCTTGATGCTGGCACAGGCTAGCCGGGCAATGCCCATGTGCTCACAGTAGGTATGAGGGATGATGTGGTGTCCACAGTAGGGCAATCTCAGGAGAAGAAACACTAATGGAGCCACCATGCACAGGCTCCGCAGCACAGCAATGCCCCCGATGATGCCAATGACTTTGCTGGTGAGGATCACAGTGTATTGAAAGGGTTTGCAAATGGCAATGTGTGGGGACCTAAAGGCCCCACCTTGCATAGGTCTGAAAGAAAGTTACTGGGGGTGCCACCTGGCTTGCTTTGAAAGTCTGAAGAATACTTCCGCACTGCTGAGGAGTGCATGATTAGCGCATGACCATCCTTAAGATATACCCTCAGGGGGAGAGAGGAGGGAGTTCCAGGTGCCTTTATAAGCTCTGTAACACCTACAATAAAGGAGTCCCTGCTTGAGTAGACTCCCCATTTTGTCTGAGTGTCCCCAGTACTGGGGGCAGCATGGGCTGGTGAACGGCATGCTTACTCATCCCCAATCACCACTGCCCGGGGGTCGCTGGTTCCAACCCCTGGCAGCTGGCGCCCAGTGTGGCACTCGAAGGAAGGTGAAAAGAAGACAGAAAGAAGAAAAACGGATTGGGGCCAATTGGAGGAAGTTCGGGGTAAGCAAGACCCAAAATATGGGTAACACAACTTTTAAGTTTGAGGTCCCAGAGCTTAAAGCACTGAAAGATATGCTTAAAAGCATGGGATTGGGTTTGTCAGATCCCTTAGCTCAAAAGGTTTTGGCAGAGGCGATTCATTTGGCTCACTGGCTACTTGGAGCTAATGTTTTTACTGGGGATACATGGGAATCATGGGAAGGGTTTGAGGAAGAATGCA